GGAAGCATACGGTGTCATTAACACCCTATTCATTTACATTCCTACTTATATATAAAATGAGCTGGAGAGGTGACAGAGACCTTTTTGTCTGGTGAAACGGGAGATCTGCCCGCCAAGCAGGGCATAAAAAAGTAGAGCTCCATTTGACTTTGAACAGTTTAATTTTCTTCATGTTGTAAAACATACAATGAGGTCATGTTCTATAATATTATCTCACTCTCAACAAATCTCATGACAAGGGAAAAAAGTCGTCATTGTGTCTGTCTCTACTTTCTGACATTAAAACAGTTACTGAAAAGAAATGCTCTCTACTTTTCAAACTTTCAACACATTTCTCTTCAACATTTTAGAAATATAAAATTCTAGGGTTAAACGCTGTTTTTTTAAAAGCTAATGTTAATTAAAAAACCTCCATTTATTTTCCCATAAGAGGAAATAAGGAAAGCTTGTTCAGGCTGAAGAGGGCAGACATGTTTTCTGCTCCCACTGAACACAAAACAAACTTCCTCAAACCAGAGATGAATGTTGGCAGTGAAACCATCGATGCATATTTAATCGTCGAGTATCTGAAACTCAAACATTGTGAATCTGATATGAAAGAGTTTGTACAGTTTAGAGAACAACTGCACAGAGACACGAGTTGATGCTGCAGCGGCTGAATGAAATAACCAAACCTGGCTTCAGTTTAAACACACACACACACACACACTTTCTCTTGCACACACACACACACACACACTTTCTCTTGCACACACACACACTTTCTCTTGCACACACACACACACACACACACACACACACACACTTTCTCTTGCACACACACACACACACACACACACACACTTTCTCTCTCTCGCTCGCGTTCATCCACATTACAAAGATTACTCGTTGTCAGATTGTCATTACACACTGAACTAAAATATAGATTTCTTTTAAATTACAAAGGTTTTGTTGATATAACTGTAAACTACAATGTGTTATTCACAATAAAAAAAAAAACAACAACAACACTAGCGTACTGCAACTTCTCTAAGCACAAATCCTGTAAAAAGTTAGGATCGTGTGCGTGAACCAGAGTGAAATATTTCCTATGTTGGCAGGTTTGGCCGGTCAAAGCACACATGCACATAGACACGCAGCTAAGCCATCGGTCTGTTACAGACACATCCTCTGCATGTGGTCCGATTCCTGCTGGTGGCTCAGCAGGTCGGGAATCTGTGGGGGCGGAGATGAGTTACCGTGTGATTATTATTCATTTTTTTCTTCAAACCTGTCTTGTCTTTATCAATACAAAGACACACAAAGAGCTGCTCTGTTCCGGGGGAGTGCATACACACACAAAGTGCACACATATTTCTGTACAAGCGCAGCATTAACAGCACCTTCTAAACTGCTGCCATCGGGACCCTCAAGCTCGACGACGTCAGACCTCTGCTCCCGGTACATTCCTGTATCCTCGTGTTTTTGTTCGCGTTGCTCATTTTTAAGTGCAGTCATAAACTAAAGGTTTCACTTTTTACTTCTGTCCGTTTTTATTCTCATGTGTGGTGAACTTGTGCGTTTCTTTCTCCCAAAGTTTTTTTCATTTTCTCCAAAGTTTTCCTGATTTGTTTCTTTCCTCTCAGGCTGCCTCCTTATCATGATGAAATGTAGTCGCTGAAAAGAGCTTTAGTTGTTTCATTAGTAGGTTAGTTACATGGGGGGGGGGGGCTCAAACTCTCTTATGGGTAGCATGCAAGGTGGTCTGGCAGGATTGTGACAATTAGAATGTCTCTCCCTCAGATACAGAAAAGTGCGATGAATGATTTTCCATAAAAACAATGAAGTGACACTAAGTGTTCAGATAAACTCAGGATGAGGTACAGCGGTTCAGGACCGGGCTACCTGTTTCAGGTAATTCAAATGGGACTTCTCATCACTGATCTTTACAGGTTAGTTTGTTAACTAGTAAAACATGCCGGGCTAACGCTGACTGAATCATCCTAAAGAAACGAGCCGTCTCCCAAATACACCAGAGAAGGAATTATACTATCTGCTAAGCTGGAAGAAAATGTTTAGTGTCCTTGCTCAGTCAGGAAAATGTAGAATCATAAGTGCTGTTGTGGCTCGCATTGGTGCTAACTGGTGGCTTGCTTCAATTACATGCACCTGCAAAATTATATTTTAAAGAGTCATTATTACAGTTTTTGTTTTCTGTGTAATGTAGCACAAGGTTACGTAAAAATGTTCTTTCTTAGCCCAGGAATTAAAAACATCTTCTGATGCTTTGAAAAATATTTGTCGGCAGGTAATTGGACAATGAGGCTGTCAAAAGTTTTCAATACTTCATACCACGTTTTCCAAAAATACAATCGCCATAAGCGAATACAGAGGGCGCTGTTTCAGTCCCAAAAATGTTGCCAATGTATTTGTGCAATGTAGACAGCGTGCAGGAGTCTGTCTGCATTTTCTGTTAATAAAAAAGAAGAAATTACTTTACAGTGGCTCAGAGGACTATTTTTTGTTGTTGCTGTGGTATCAATATCGTTGGATACTTTATCAGAAGATAAAAGTTTAAAAGTCTGGTATCATGATAACCTTATTGGATAGTTGAATTCATAGAACGAATGTGACAATGAGGCTCCGTGATGGCTCTCCTGGTTGGACAGTGGCTGAGTCTTCACTGCAGTACCTGCTGCATCTCACCCCCCCCCTCTCTCCTCATGGAGCTTTCTGTCTCTCTTCAGCTTTCTGCATCAACAAAGGCTGAAAAACGTCCACAAAATAATACTCAAGATGAAAAGTCCATGGGAGAATCTTACTTCTCTCCTGCATAAAAACCTGTAACTTTCACTGACTCCACCCTCTTCATCTAGCGTGTGAACAGACAGATTTACTGCACAGACAGTAACATGAGTGTGTCCTTGGAGGTAAAGCAAAGCATGTGAGTAGTAGTATGTGAGAGAACTTACAGTATCTCCTCATACTGTAACCAAAGAACTGCACTGTTGGACTCTGAGTATGTGTTTCTGAGTGTGAAGGGCTGAACCTTAACGGCAGCTCAAGACCCTGAGAGTAAAGTCGTCATTAGTTTACTGGATTTTTTTTGTTTTTAAACTTACAGTCTTTCTGTCTTGTGCGTCGTTCAGTTGTTAATTTAATCGGCGTGTGTGCTCCTGGAGGACTCACCAAAAGGCACGTCAAATACCAAAACCAGAGGTGTCATCGCAGCGACAAAAAAAAAAAAGCTGCTTGACGAGCCGTATGGCGTGACGGCAGCAGGTCTCAGTGTCTATTGATCTGAGTAATTTCTATGGCTTCGGGGTTGTGAACGAGGTTGTTATGTCCCTATAAAGACAGCGTGTGGTTGTACTGAGTAACTGCATCTCTCGCGTGTGTGTTTCTGTTAGGTGTGTGCGTCCTTCGAGTTCATCTTCTCTCCTTTCCTAAACAGTGTCCTCGTCCATCTTGGAGATTTCCGCCAGCGTAACAGCGGCCGGTACATTGTTCTCCTCCCCGTCCTCGTTTGCCTTTGACGGGGAGGGAGGTGCCAACATGGCGGTGAGCTCCTCCTTGGGCTCGTCCCTCTCTCTCCTCTCCTCCTCTTTCCTCTCTCGTTCCAGCAGGCGGTAGTTGATGCCCATTCCCACGAAGAGGACCACACTAGCGACAATGAGGATGATGCCGGAGGTGATGTAGGTGTAGTTGTAGTGGTTGTAGTAGGTATAGAAACTACCTGGAGGGAACAAAAGAGAAAAGAGACGACTCAGATGTATAATTTGAAAATTTAAATAACTGTCTGGATCATCAAACTTGACTTTCAGTTGTATAAAACTACATGGCAATGTTTTGAAGCTTCAATAGGAGAGGACTCTAACAATACTCTCCCATGCTAACCTACTGATTGTCTGTTTTATGAAGCTTTAAATAAGTCATTAAAAATATTAAAGAGGGTATATTATACTCCCTTCTCCACCTTTTCAAACAGTCCCCTGTGGTCTAAATGAAACATCTGTGCTGTGCTTTGGTCAAAATATAACATGAATCAAGCACCAGAGGAGGTTTGTGACCCTGTATAAACCAGCTCTCTCAGAACGCTCCGTTTTGGTGTGTGTGTCCCCCCCCCCCCCCCCGAGTTTTCCCCGTAGACATCACTCCTTCACTAGCGAGACTAAAAATGTTTTGTTCTAGGCTGGAGGTGGAGTCCATGGGTGGAGATACCAGAGGAGGGGAGGGGATTTTTTTTTTTATCAGAATCCCACTGTGACATCACAAGGAGAGCACATTTGACGGAGCATTTTTCTCTGTGTTGTAAGACTTATGCAGACCACAAACAAAGGACTGGATGGGTTTATTTCACATGTTGTGGGTCAGTAGACTCTCAGGTTACCCAGATAAATGTTCAGAAACACTGCAGAAGAGGATTTTCAGAATATGTCCCCTTTAAAGAACTTAAGTTAATCTATCCACTTCCAGAAAACAAAACTCATCCTTCTCTTCCCTGTGTGTTCATGCTGGATCTCTTACCTGTTAGCGGTGGTCCCAGCAGCACCGGCCCACACTCCACTATAGTGACCAGACCCACAGCTGAGGAGAACCTCTGAGCGCCCACCAGGTCCATCAGAGTCTCAAACAGCACCGCGCTCAGCCAGCCAAACGCGAACCCAAAGAAGATGGCGTAGATCACAAATCCCGTGTAGTCCACTGACAGCGGCGCCAGAACGTGACACACCCCGTTGTAAAGAACCGCAGCAGCGAAGAAGTACTGCACTCGGGGCGGACCCACTTTGTGTTGGCTAGCATCCCCATGGAGGGCCGGGCGAACATGTCAACAAACGCCAACACTGACAGCAGGAAGGCCGCTTTGTCTTTGCTGATGCCCATACTTTTGGCGTAATTTGAGAGGAAGACGAGCGGAGCGAAGAGGCCGAAGAACATGATGACGTTTCCGCTCAGGTACAGCAGGAAGCCGCGATGTTTGAACAGCGTCAGGTCGATGAAGGAGTTGATGGTCTGCAGGACCGTCTTCTTCTGCTGAGGCTGGACTGAATCTGCCGCCTTGCCCTCGCCTGCCTCCGAGTCGGACTTGGGCGGTTGGGGTTTGGGTCCGATGGGGCGCATGAGCGAGCCGGCCACGCAGCAGTTCAGCAGCAGACCTCCGAGGATGAGGAAGCTGCCTCTCCATCCAAACTCATCGTACAGCCAGGAGTTCAGAGGAGCCAGCGTGGAGAGAAAGACGGGGCTGCCGGCCATGGCGATGCCGTTGGCGATGGGTCGGCGATGGTAGAAATATTTACCGATCATGGTGAGGGCGGGATTCAAGTTGAATGCTAGTCCCAAACCTGGAGGAGAGACAAGTGAGCATTACATGAAGACAAAACGAGGGCAAATAAAAATGTTTTGTTCTTCAGCGAACAGGTTAAAGAAAACATAAAGAAGTGTGATCAAAGGCCCCGTGACCAACTAGCAATTTAAATCCGGGGAGAAAGCGCTCACTGTGCCTGATCAGACATGAAGCAAAGAGGATGTGGGTACAAGACACGATACGTAGGCTGCAAAACTACAAGGAATATCATACATGTGGAAAACAGCGCCTTCCTGAAAAGATTTTCAACTTGAGCGTTCGGAGCAGCTGCACAAAAAAAGGCAGTGCTCACAGAAAAAAAGACACTGGATTTTCTTTTTCTCCAGGCGGCCGCTTTCTGCTGCGTACGATCTCTACTAGTTGAGAAAATCTGAAGAAACTGAAGAATCTCAAGAGAACATGTGATGCTGCACATGTTCTCTTTACTGTGCACTTTTGCACATTCACTGCTCAAAATCTTGAAAATTTCTGCATCAACTGTACAGCTCTTTTGTTATGTAAATGTTTTGAGTTTTTTTTTATTTCACTGTATGTTTGACACATTAAGGATGATAAAAGGGTAAAAACAAAACTGACCTCCAATCACTCCTATGCAGAAGTAAAGCTGCTCCACAGTGTTGCAGAAGGAGGCAGCGACCAATCCCGTCCCCGACAGGCAGCCGCCGGCGATGATGATCGGTCGGCTACCAAATTTGTTCACGAGGATGCTGCTGATCGGACCTGGAGAGAGAGAAGGGATGTGCGAGAAACAATGAATGTGTGATGCAATTTCAAACAAACAACCCTTTAAATCAGAGGGTCGGGTGTGTTCTGTGCACAGCCGTGCTATTCGTCTGAGGAGCAGCTAGAGCAGGAACAGTCATCTTATGATACATAAATATAAATATGAATAACTTCTAAGTTGATATACTGTGTATTGAAATGACTTTAGTCGTCACCTGTAACCACCACCTGGTGACACCAGGTCACCTGCTGTTAATAAAATGTAGAGCGAACCTGAGGAAGCCACTTTGTCCTTTCAATTAACAAATATTGAACCGAGTAACCAATAATAATAAATAAACAATGATCACTAAATGGATCAGTCGTTAATCATTGTTCAGGTGAAAATGTCAAACTTTATGATTAAGATTTCACTGACCAATTATTAAATCAATAAATTGAAAATAAAATGAATAATAATCGGTTGCAACCCCCTTTAAAAAAAACATTACAAAAGGTTTAACAAGCCGGCAACAGATGAAGAGTGGGATTAGCAGCACCTGTTTAATTTATTCTGTAATTACATCAGAACACCATTTCCACTTTGCACCAACAGGGGGTGCTGTGGTGGCAAAAATACACAAATGACCATGACCGATTGTGTAACAGTGCCCTGTTGCATGGATGTTACATGAGTGAAGAAAGGAGGAAAAGAGCAAAATGAAATGGGAGTTCAGAATGAAAGGGTAAGGAGGGAGGAGGGGGAGGGAGTCAGGAAGGGCAAGGTAAGGTAAAGTAAACATCACAGAGAGAGAGAGAGAGAGAGAGAGATGGATACAAGGAGATATAAGGAGAGGGTAAGGACAGAGGAGACGCAAGGAGATTACAAGAGAGGAGAATAAACGAGGAGTGAATCTATGACGCGTGGTTGAAGTGAAGAAGAAAAGACAAGAAGGAGAAAAGGGGAGGAGAAGGTAAAAAGTGACAAAAGACAGTTAGACAGTTGGAAAGACCAGGTAGGAAAGAAGAAAAGAGGAGGAGGAGAACGATGAAGAGGAGAAGAGGAGACAAGAAGAAGATAGCTGAAAATGAGACGTGAAGAGAAGACAACAAAAGAGGAGCAAGAGAAAAAAGACATGAGATGAAAGGAGAGGAGAAGAGAAGGAAGAGAAGGAGGAGACAGGAGGAGAAGATGGGACAGCAGAGGGGAGAGGGGTCGAGTCGAGGCGTTCCACGTGCCTCCGTTTGCGTGCCAGCCTCCCTATGAATGAGCCTTCACATGGATGGAGGCTGACACTGGCTCTGCTGGACGGGAATACAAAGTAAAAGCCTGCAGCTTCTATACAGCAGCTCTGTCAGGAGATGAAACATTTAGCCCAGCCAGCAAATATTTTTTCATAATCCATTATTCAGGAGTATGTAAATAAATGTTAAAAAAAAAAACAATCTAGTTCCAGTGTGTCAAATTAGAAATCTGTTTATTATTTCTGTGTTTAAAATATCTTCACTGGTTAGACAATACATGAGTTCAAAGAAAGCACCTTGGACTCTGTGTGTGCATTTATTCAGAGACAGGACAGGGGACAGAGTCAGAACCCCGGGGAGAGAGAGAGAGAGAGAGAGAGAGAGAGAGAGAGAGAGAGAGAGAGAGAGAGAGAGAGAGAGAGAGAGAGAGTGGGGAACGATACCCGGGAAAGGAGCCAAAGGCCGGACCTTCACCTGGGCTGCCCAACTAGAGCCCCCATACATGGGGTACATGCAACAACCACTAGGCCAACGGTGCCCCAGCACCTTCGACTTCTTTAAGGGCTTGAAGGGAAGGACTGAAAGGGATCTGATAAGTATTAGAGATGTCTGCAATTAACCTCACAATTTTGGCATAATAAGAATAAGAATAAGAATAAGAATAAGAATAAGAATAAGAATAATTGATCGCTTAAGCTAAAAACCTAAAAAGTATGACCTGAACTTATATTTCCTAAAACACCCCACAAGGAAGACAGTGACCAGTTGTTAGGTTAAAGTCCAACCACTTGATTTTGATTTGACACAAACACAGCTTAGAGAAGGTTTTGGATTTGTTGGTCGACCTTATTTTTGGTACTTTTGAGTGGATCCAGGCTAGTGCTGTCCCCTGGGCTTTATGTCTTTTTTGTTAAACTAGGTTAACTGTCTGTTCTGCTTTCTGGATCCATCGTCATATTTCACAAAAATATGTGATCATTTTCTCCTATTAGGGTTTCTATATTGCATGTTACTAATATTCCTGTAGCAGTTAAGCTAAAGCTCCAGCTCGTTCATGAACACCTACGCACTTCATGATATTGATGATGACAAGTTTTAGGATGGTTTTGATGCTCTCAAGAACAGCTGCCAATGTTGTTGTTGATGAACATTTCTTAACGTTGTTAAAAAGCACCTGTATGTCAGTTTGGACTTAAAGCTGTTGGTTTGCACTTGCTGACGTTGTCTCCTCCGCTCTTCATCCTTGCTTGTGTTGTTCTTACTCTCTGAAGTTTGTCGCTTTGGATAAAAGCGTCTGCTAAGTGAATTGTAGAATTGTAGTTATTTGAGGTTTGTTTGATTTATTTGTTTATCAGTTATTTTTAAATCTAAGCTCACTCTCAACTTCACTTCGAGCCTTATCATATCCAAAAAATACACATCCTAGTAATCCTTCCATTAACACGAGCAGTGAGAAGATCTTCAGCTGAAGTAATAAAAAATACTAACTTGACACAGAGAGATGCACAAAAGGTTCAATTCATTCTCCAGTACTGATGTGAGAGCCGAGGCTTTTAACACACACAGCATGGACGTTTTGACCTTGAAACTTGGCAGCTGACCACAATGCCCGGGGGCGCCGAGTGCTCGAGCATTCACTCACGCACTCACGACATACCTCTCTCTCTGGGACACCTAGTTTATGTGTTGTGTCTGTCACTGAGGGTCTGCCTGTCTTCAACAAAGCCCCCTCAGTCTAAGTGGGTTGCCATGTTGAAGTTGAACAAAGGACAAAAAGATGGGAGAGATTTCCGATGCATACTAAGACGACAACCTTTCTTGTCAACATGTTGGAGCTGTGCAGTAAATAAACAAACCTGTACAAGGACAGGAGTGACTCTGCATCCACTGACGCTCACTTAAATAAATCAGGAGTGACAGTCTTTGTTGCTGTTTGGCAAATCACAAAGAGGGCAGTGAGAAGTGTTCTCTCAGATATTATATAAACTATCTCTCCCCCCCCTCCTCCTCTCCCTCCTGCCTCATTTGCTCCCTTTCTCTCTTTTGACAGAAACAAAAACACTGAGAGGAGGAAAAGACAAGACCCATCCTCAGCTCTGCTCTGACGCAGCATCCACAAGTGAGAAATAAAAAAAAAGACAACAGCGCGCGTCAGGAGTGAGCCCAGCTGTGACGAGCTTCTCCTCAGTCTAATTTTAGCAGAGACGCTTTTTTTCTCTTTCTTTCTCTGCAGGTCCAAAGTGTTCTAGTTCTTATTCTTTATAACAATCAATACTCAGGTTTAGAAGTGTGTGAGTGAGGGAGCAGCTGGTGATGAGTCACTCCTGCCAGAAAGAAAATAGGGACATGGGAAACAGCTGATTGGATTTAACAGTTAAATGCATCACAGTTTATCAGCAGTCGGGGTGAAACATCCCTCGCTCTGGACATTTTAGGATGGTTATCATGGGAACTTCAACAGATTGACATGCACGTTATTAGTCTTCTGCTAGTATGAAAAGCATGAAAGCATGTGGTTTTCAGACACAGCCATAGTGATGGAGAGCTTGGCTGAGGATAAACCAGGACCTCTGAAGCTCAGAAATGAATTATTTTATATCTCATTAGTTGAATTTGTTGCTCTCATTCCAAGCGGCTAATGTTACATTAGCCTCTGGGCGTGTAAACTGATATTCTGGGGCTTCTGATGGACAGTTCTTACATCTTATATTGTGCTTTTCAAGTCTTGTAACCAGGGTCCGAAATTAACTTTTTGACTCACTGGCCAAGGTGGCAGGTAGATGAAAGAATATATTTTTCTTACCTGTCAAAATAACAAATTGTGTTTTTGTGTCCTGTACACATCTGTTACAGTACATTTAATTGAGAAGGCATCATGTTCTGTTTAATCAATAACAAATTTAAGTCACAGATTTGATCACGTCATCAGATCAGGGATCAGTCTCATGATCAGTCATGAGAGAGGAGCAGGGAAAAGTAGCTGCAGCTAGGCTCCATCAAACGTGCTGAATACTTATAGAATAGTTTTTTATGACTTTTTGATCAAACATTTACTCGCCCTGTGGCGGATAGCCCTCTGAAAAGTACTCACCAAACGAAAAAATCTACCCGCATTTGGCGCTTGGCGGGTGTTCATTTCGGACCCTGCTTGTAACCATTTTACACTTCATCTAAAAGCATTCACTCGCTGCTGGCTATTCCACTCAGCAGCAATTTGGGGATCTTGCCCAAGGACACTTCAACATGTCAGCAGAAATCTTGAGAGTTTATATTTTGGAGCCAAGATGTTGTCCTCACTAAACTGGTCACTGTTTTATGGCCCCGTAAGAAACTGGAGATGCAGGAATGGAGTTTGAATGAGAAGCGACTACGAGCTGATCTCTTAAATCAGATATCCACATGAGTGCTAACGCTTCCTAAAAAGCAGATCAAAAGCACAACCTTCAGTAGACTGTAGCTGATGGGTTCTAGTATTGCATTTCAGCTTGCATGTTTGCTTGCAACCAAAGTTAAATGTCTTCAATCAAATTTCTAAAACAGTAAAAACAGACCGCTGCTGAAAAATGAAAGCTAGCCCCCTTTCCTTCAAATTCTACATTTATTTGGAAATATCTGTTTGAATAAATTATTAATTAGGATATCAATAAAAAGAAAAGGCCTCGTACAATTTGTATTGATTGTAAAGCACTTGAACACTAAGCCCACTGAATGTGTGTCTATACTGCACAATGAAGAGACCACTTTGACAACATTTAACAGAACTGGGAACCCTTTTAAAGCTGCATACTTATATCAATGTCCAGTGATCTAGAGCACTTAATACATTACACAAGCTGGTGTTCACTCATGCAAAACTCTCTCTCACACACACACACACCATTCTTTCTCCAGGCTCTTTCACCTCCACACACAGTGTGGCCGATATCAGCGTTCCCACTCAGTGAGACTCAGACCAGTGTGAACATGAAGTGACAAAAGGCTTTTATCCAACATAAACTCCGGAGTTGGAGGAATTAACAAGTTAAGAAACATGTCTGTGTTTGTAATTAAATCCACACCTCTAAAGTCACAAGGGTTAGGAAAATTAAGAGCAAGGGAGCCACATTTCAGAAACAATCCTCTCGTTTTAAATATTCCCATGCTCTTAAAGCCAGTGGGATTTATAGCAGCATCTTTCAGTGAGGAGTCTGATTGTAACCAACCGATATAAGCTCTTCTTATTCTGCCCTCCAAGATTACATGAGAACCTACAGTGGTGGGAACCTAAAAGTTGGTGCGGCAGAGTTGGTTGTCTCTCAACTGGAAGGCCGGGGGGGTTCGATCCCCGGCTCCTGCAGCAACATGTCCGATGTGTCCTTTGGCAAGACACTTAACAACAAGTTGCTCCCGCTGCTTCGTCGGTGGTGTATAAGTGTTTGTGAATGGGATTAGCTGGACACTTTACATAGCAACCTCTGCCATCAGTGTGTGAATATGTAGGGGTTTGAATAGTGTTGACTATATTTTCAGATTAGCATGTAGTAGCTCATATATCTTGTTGCATCTTGTTTCACACCTAAAAACTAATAAACATTCCCAAGAGGTGGGGAAATGAGACTTGTTGCACATATCACATCTTCCTGTAGAACATCCTGTGCACCTATAACTGGTTCACAGTATAAGTCAGCTGTCACCAACGTCCTCTAACAAGAATAAAATGAAAACGTGTCTGAGGGATTGTGGAGGGTCTGCGTTTGTACGTGCGTTGCCCCATTGCAACAAGCGAGTAATACAGTTATGGTGATTTATGCGTCTGTTAAGCCAATAAGTCCTCGCTCCTGCAGCGTGAGCAGCCATGAGGATATTATTACCTGGTGGTCTTAGCAAGTTCTGAAATAAGAAATAGAAACATTTGGAAAATTTAGGGGGGAAAGAAAAGAAAATACTCAAACATCTGGCTTCTGTTATGCAATTTCTCTCCTCCTCCTCCTCCTCCTCCTCCTCCCCTCTGTTCCTCCCTCAGCAGTTTTCTCTTGTAAACGCTAAAAAACTGCTGAGTAAGGCTGTGTGATGGCACGCAGAACTAAATATGACGAAGCCTAAGTGGAAGGAGCAGAGCTTTTTTTAGATTTTAAGTGCCAGGCAGAGAGTTTAACAGATGATGTGCTTTTTTGCACGTAGGAAGCGATGATTGAAAACACTGAGGGAAGAAAGAGAGCGTGTTTGAATGAGGAGAGAGCTCTCTTTGTGTGTTGACACAGAAAAAGAGAAACCTGATATGAAACTTAACCTCATCTCAATCTGGATCTGTCTCTTTCTTTAATCCTGCTCTTACTTGTAAATAGACGGTGTGTTGTTGCGGTAGTACAGATAAACCAGCTACTTCAATTGATTTTAAAAGGCACACACAGTTATTTAGGTCAAGCAGCACAGCAGACACCCTGTGTAAGCTTGAGATCCTCTCTGAAGGCCTGGGAGTGGATCCCCCCCACTTAGTTCTTGGCTGAAATACGTAGCCAGAACAGCTGGCTTTTACAACACTACTACTGCAGCTGGGGTGTGTTCATGTCTTCAGCGTCATCGTACTATAAAAGCTGTGATATTAATGAATAAGTCATTACTGTTGGTGTGGTTTCCCTTGGGCTTAACCAGCAGTTTCAGTTGGAAAATAAGAAAGAAATCGTGGGCATGTTTTCATATCTCATATCTTCATTCAGCACTAAGTGTTACACAAGCTGTGACTGAAGCGGAGAGATGAAGAACTGATTATGTAAGTGAGGAGAGAAAGAGAACAGAGGCAGAGAAAGAAAAGGCTGTTTGTTTTCTCTTCACTGAAGGATAAACTGTAGTAAGAGATAAGGCAAACACCAGCACACTCCTACGACCTTCCTGTTTTATCCACCAGCCCTTTAACACTTCCTGTTCAAGATGCCACCGTTATGCCTCACCGTTTATGTAAATGTCATGGAGGAGAAAGAGTTGGGCAAACATTTTTGTTACTAATAGTGCTTTCACACTTGCACAGGACTCCTGAAAACTCCTGAAGTTTCTAAGGTGAGATGAATGTGTGAACGCAAACAGACACATTTTTTCACTCGGACACGATCCAGAGTTTCTCCTGTCAGCTCCGTAGTATTTTTCCTGCATAAAGATGAGTGAGCTGATGTGAGGACACAGCATGATATAATCAGGAGAAGTGACCGCAAGTAAGTGTGTGTGTGTGTGTGTGTGTGTGTGTGTGTGTGGGGGGGGGGGGGTGCTGATGAAGTTTATTCCCAGCCAATGGCCGAGACTTTTCTTTAACTCGCTTTAGTCTAATACAATAAGTTGCTATCAAGCACATCATGCTGCCACTTTTGTGTTGTTCGGTGCAAACCAATACTACCAGTTTCCCCATTTCCATAACTTACTGCAATAATATTCTTTCTGATATCACCATCAGTAGTCATGGCTCCTCCCAAGTTCTATTCAGAATCTTTCTAGCCTCTAAGGGAGCTAACAAGGTCACATCCAGTGAGCTCTAACAAGAGCGCTTTTCCACTTTAAAGGGCTGCTTACAACCGCTTTAAACAAAGGGTTTTATTTACACAGAGCTCTTCAATATTCACATGGCTTCCTCTCGAATGTACCAAAGGAATTTAACCAGAACCTTTGAATGTTCCGTGGTTTAACTTACCAAGAATCTTATGATATTCATAGGGTTTCATATACTGCGGGTCCTTTTATATTCCAATGGATTAACCTACTGAGAAGTCTTTTAGAAATCCAACAGTTTCATCTGGAACCCACCCAGCAGGGTTTTAAAAATAGCCCTTTCCGATGGTTTCACCTTTAATAACCCCCTGACCTCTGAGGGCTTTTTGAAGAGAGGTTACACGTGGTTGATTGCTCTACAACCAGAATTATTTGGCTGAGTTTCTGTGATCTTTTTTGTTAATATAAGAGCTGAACAGGACAATACAACTCCTCTTGTTTTGAATTTAACCACCAGAAGTCATGTGAAATCTGATTTTTTTTTATTTCTTTGTTATGCTGTCAGCATGCATACCCGTTTTTTCATGCCATGCCTCAACCACTGCTGCAAGTCAGCATTATGTGTCATGTGCTGACTGATGGGACAAACTTAAGTCTAGCAGACACATCCAATCCGCTCAGGTCAGCGGTTAGCCAGTCAGGTTTTTGGTCATCATCCAACGGGGACGACAACACACCTCTAAGACTGTCCAAACAAATCAGAGATTACTTACTGAGGTTTAGAAATCCGTAACCGCACAAGGTTGGATTAACTGCTGATGAAAGGGTTGAAAGGAAAAGCCTATGCCTGCCTCGTGTAGTGTTAAATAAAGTTTGATTATTTATTTTGACGGAGTAGGAACATTAAAAACACTGTAAATAAACACACACACACACACACACACACAGTATTCACCTCCAGCGTACATGACAGCCAGCATGATGGAGGAGATCCAGGACACCTGACTGGGAGTGGCATTGAAGATGACCTCTATCTCCTTGAAGAAGACTGTGATGGATTTGGGGAAAGCGTAGGAGAAACCGATGGAGATGAAGGCTCCAACTACCACCGCCCAGCCCCAGCCACCTTCGGGAGGAGTATACCCCACAGGCCCACCTAATGCTGGAGGCATGTCTGCTCACTAGGAGGATGAAGACGAAGAAGGAGGATATGGCAGACAGCTGATTTCAAAGAGGATATGCACTGGAATCAAAACCTGCAGGTGGAACAGAGCAGAGAGAAACGGTTACAATCAACTCATTTTTAGCACTTCGACTTCAAGCTTATTGTCCCTGAGGGAAAATGTGTTTTGCTACCAGGGGAAACCATGAAATGTCATGACAACACAAGACTATAGACTCAGGTTAAAACATTCAAATACATGAATACAAGAACACATCAAGTGACAACAGGCTGCAAAAAAAGACAGAGGAGTTGACAAGCAGATGGTTTATATTTTCGTAGTAAAGAAATTGTAAAAGATAAAGATATGGTCATGGATCATGTACGATGTAAAATGCAGTTTTTCAGATGTAGAATATCAACATACCAAACGACATTTGTTTTATTTTTTCAATGGCTGCAAGAAGGATGAGTTCAAAGCTACTTATCAATACTATAAGTCACCAAAAATTTAGTGTGCAGACAAAAGTGAAACCAGAACAAGAAAAAGCACTGAAATGTAAAATGTGAACCTGTTTTTTTTTTTTTTTTAAATCAATTCATTCTTCATCTTTATGTCTAATCAATCAGCTTAGAATCACATGAGACACTAAAATCTGTGAATCCTACTCATTTAGAAGCTGAAGCATACAGATGATGCTTAAAAATCTGCCTTTAACAGTTAATCAAATATCAAAACAGCTTCCGATTTACTTTCTGTAACCGCTTGAGCTTTACCTCTACTTACTATAATAAAGCTGACGTTATTTTGTACTAGGAAACCAAATACCTGCTGGTGTTAACGTGTACCCAAAACAACACAGTTCCTTAAGGCAAACCCATAAAAGACTACCTTGCATTTTTTTCCACTAAACATTTAATGTTTGCAGAAAAAAAGAATTTGGTTCAAACTGCATGCAAAAATAGCAAACAGCCCCTGAAGAGTACCAACTCATCCAGTGACTGAGCCGGCTCGACCTCATGTCACATCCAGCTCCTGCACGCAAGCTGGGAAGCAAACTGTTCCACATCTAATGCTGAACGTACTGCAGCATTTGATTAAATATTTCAGTGACACACAGACACATTTACAGTCATCAAAGCAGCTGGAAGCCCCTGGGCTTGTTTAATGAATGCATCCATCTAAATGTCCTCTTTTCCATTCAGGCTGCATAAAGCAGAGCTATTTATGGCCGACTCTCACATCACTCCAGCCACTGTTTGGGACAGTTACCTTAAATGGACTCCTGGATACAGATACACAAACCATGCAGGCACTTCACATCAAATATGCATGTGTATCTGAAGAGAAGCCGAGTAGTCCTCGCCGGTAAGAGAGGACAGAGAGGAAAATAAATCATGTGAGAGAGTAGAGTTGGACATTTTGGAGGGTTTTCTTTTAGAGTCAGTTTTTGCAGCGCCATCATGAACTTATCACAAATAGATAATTCAGTGATTAATGAACAGCCAGGTGTCATGCTTCCCTACATGGCATTAAGCCTGGACCATGCTGTAAACAGCTATGCTCCTGCAATCATTACACCCAGTCAGCTTGTTATAGTAACTGGTTTACTCAGATCTGTGATCACACTCAGACCAGACTGCTCTGGCTGCAGAGAGCTTTCACTTCATTTTTGGCTACCACGAGTATTTCCTGTCTCTTCACCACAAAGAACAATGTTTGCAAGTTACAACCAATTACAAGGACTGACAACAACGTGGTCGTTTTCGACTTGACACATATGATACATAGAGCAACAGACAACCCCAAAACCTTATTATATTTCCTTTATCAGTCACCACACTACCATAAATACAGCATGACAAAAAAAGGCGACATGGTTGATTCGTTATCTCTGATCTTTCAGTTACTTCCTTCCAGGCAGTGTCAGTTCATGTCGAAACACTTTCAAAGTCATTTACAGACTTAGACATAGACTGCAGTGGCAGCAACATAAAGATTTCAGAGCCTGACTGAGGAACATCAACAAAGTGTTTGTTGGTGCAATCGACTGGCTTAGATTGTTATTTTAAGTGTCTGATAAACTACACTAAGCCCTCAGTTAATTTGGAGGATTAAGAACCAGTTCTGAACTGGTTTGTGTATCTATACCAGGGAATTCACTGTTGAACAATTTTTTCAATCATTGATTCAAATTTAGCAATAAATCTGCATCCTGGAGAGCCTGAAGAAGTCTCTGTAGAGCAAAAACACATGGCACATTTTCTCTCCTGGGAATGGCAGATGGGTTGAATTGTTGCAACACAAACTGAAATGGATCTGAGCAATGAGCATTTGCCACAATTCTTAGAGGACAGCCTCTGAATGAACTGAACACTGTCCAGTTATACTTGCATTATTAAAGACCGATCCAGGGGGTAAACAGAAGTTGACTAGCCGACATTATTGCGGTGGCGTCTCCCTTTATCTGCTGCGCATTTGAATGCGAGCGGTTCTATAAGGAAAAAATGTCTGTCCGCTTTTCTTTACATTACTTTTTTAAGTGGCTTTACATTTTAAAACAATGTAAAGGACTTCAGGAAGAACCTGTGGAGTTTTAGAGTTTACCAACTGTCGGAAAAAACAGGGAGTGAACGTAAAACACTGTATGAGAGCGGACACCTCACACACATTCACAGGTCGTGCAGAGGACTGAGATATTCTTCAGAGTAGGATTGAGACAGTTATATATTTCTGTCCTCTCTGAGTGATCTGTAAGTGGTGTTTAGTCTCCTATCTCCAGATGATTAATGAGATAATCACGTTCCTGTATTAGCGAGCATATTTCAGGTAAGAGCTGCATGTAATCATCACAGATCATCTGCAGTAGCAGCGGTCGAAGGAATTTGAACCTTTTGTACAGGTAGAAGTGGTCTCTTCCATTACAGAGAAGGGCCTTTTTATCTTTTGATTTACGAGGCCAGTAATCCAGGTCAAATAGACGTCTGACAAAAGTCAACAAGAGCCGACCTGTAAAACATGTACACTGTGACTAACAATCACCGTTATGACGTCAGGAATCAAACTGACAGCTCACACAGTAATGCCCACGAGTATTCAGGAACTTCCCACGTCATCCACACTCATCTCACTGTTGGTGTCAGTTTCAGAAAACTCGTTTGAGCCGCTGAACAGCTGACCGTCTCACAACAACCTCCACTTGAACCCCCAAACAGACGTCAAATAAACTCGACTTTGAGTTGGTCAGTGTTCAGTTGATGTTTGATTAATCTTGCCCAGTAAATGACAGCGTGCACAAGATGACGATTGATACATTTAAGTCACCGGATAAAAGAAAAAAAAGATTGAAGCGAGTGCTGCACTGGGTTAAAAATGGAGAGGAATCAGGTGCTCTTCAAGAACAGGGGACAGAAGTCAAATGACTGTCCTGTCCTGATTACAAACAAAGTTAATTGTGAAGAAAGGCAATCTAAACTGAAAGTCTGAGGCACTCTGATGCAGTATAAGAATCTTTTATTAACAGACCTGTTAATAAAGAGTTTAGTTTGAGCTTTTTCTAAAACATCAGAAAAGCAACTGTCCACCATTGAAGTGGAAGAGGGTGGCGATTATATCCACACTACAGAGAGTGAATTATGTGTAACTACAGGTCATCCAGCGGCCAGAGAGTGAGACTTGGAAACACTCGCTGGGCCTCTCAAGTTACTCTCAAGAGTTGTTTGCCGTATTCGCCATTCCTCCAATGAGCTCAATGCCACACAGACATGCATACTCTCACACGCTCGTGCAAACACTCGTTCATTTCTCTCTCCGCCTCTCACTAAACCTTTCATCTGTTCCTCTCAAGATACAATTTAAGAAGAGATTATCAAAATAAATGTAATCCAAACTTTCCATATAACTTCTGCTGAAAAACACACACCCTACAGTTAGTGAGTCAACTCTACACCAGAAGTTTGCTCATCACAGGGTCCTGACCTCGCCTGCAGAGCGACCTTCCTGTCGCTGAGGAGGAATGCAATGACTACAGGAGTAATGCTTAAACCAGCCTTTCCTTTAGTTATGATATTAACCAATCACAAAAAGGAGCATTGACTACAATAACAAAACAGGCTTAGAAGGTGGTACTTTCAAGATTAAGTCGATTCTCAATGCCTTATAACTACCACTATGAATCAGGTTTTTAAAAAAACAGTAAGGTTTCATTGTTAATCATGCAAAGGACACGTCCAGCAAGATCGAGTCACGTAAATGAAACAGTTAGTCATCTTTGAAGACATAGGGTGTGCGAGCAAAAAGTTCAGGAACCTTCTATTTGGAGCCTCAAAATTAACCAAAATGTAGGCAAAACATTACCGTAATTTCTGGTCTAGTTTTCAGATATGAAAAGACTCATCAGAAATCAGTGCAACCATAGGACATGAAGAAACTGGCCCACGTCCAACTGTGTTCCTTGAAAGTGAATTCACTTAAGACTTAAATGGCACTTAATAGATTGATTATTAACAGAGAAAGGAAAAGATTATACAAGACAAAAAAAACCTGCAGATGGACTGAACAAATAGCTGAGGGCTGAATTATTCATCCAGTTGTCTGAAGCTAATTCAAACCCAGACAAATAAAAACTACTCCTACCAAACCCCCTTTCGTTTTCACTCGACTCCTGACACCTCTTCTAGCTCTGACTCCTTTCTCTCTTTCCACTCTGACTTTCTCCACGTGTTCCAGCCATGTTAAGGCCTATATGATATAAATATACATGCTGGGCTGGGGGTCATCCAGAACCTTATTTATATACAGTATGTAACTCTTAACTCTAAACCAGCTGGTAATTGCTTGTATTTCCCTCTTGTACACGTGCTGACTAGAGTTTCCATCCTCCGCTGACAGTTTAGACAGAGTTTCAGAGTCTTTTTAACTTCATGCTTACCTAAGCAAGGCAGAGGAGGGTGACAGGGCAGAGAGGGACGAGAGAGGGAGTTTTCATAGTAGTTGAGGTTTTACTGCTGTAGTGTTTCCACTTCTTTCAGTTGCATGCTCTAGTTCTCCCCATGTAGTTAAACTTTTATGTACGCTGAAAGATGATTTATGTT